CCCTACCTTTATCTAAATACTGTTCACATATATGCTTCAATGTAAATACTTGATCTACACATCCCCTACCCACTCTGAAGCCTCCTTGCTCGTCCGCAATTCTACATTCTGTCTTACCTCTAATTCTTTCAATTATAACCCTACCGTATACTTTTCCTGGTATACTCAGTAAACTTATTCCTCTATAATTTTTACAATCTCTTTTGTCCCCTTTCCCTTTATATAAAGGGACTATACATGCTCTCCGCCATCCCTAGGTACCTTCCCCTCTTTCATACATTTATTAAACAAAAGTACCAACCACTCCAAAACTATATCCCCCCCTGCTTTTAACATTTCTGTCATGATCCCATCAGTTCCAGCTGCTTTACCCCCTTTCATTCTACGTAATGCCTCACGTACCTCCACCACACTTACATTCTGCTCTTCTTCACTCCTAAAAGATGGTATACCTCCCTGGCCAGTGCATGAAATTACCGCCTCCCTTTCTTCCTTAACATTTAAAAGTTCCTCAAAATATTCTCGCCATCTACCTAATACCTCCCTCTCCCCATCTACTAACTCCCCTACTCTGTTTTTAACTGAAAAATCCATACTTTCCCTAGGCTTTCTTAACTTGTTTAACTCACTCCAAAATTTTTTCTTATTTTCATTAAAATTTCTTGACAGTGCCTCTCCCACTCTTTCATCTGATCTCCTTTTGCACTCTCTCACCACTCTCTTCACCTTTCTTTTACTCTCCATATACTCTGCTCTTCTTATAACACTTCTGCTTTGTAAAAACCTCTCGTAAGCTACCTTTTTCTCTTTTATCACACCCTTTACTTCATCATTCCACCAATCACTCCTCTTTCCTCCTGCCCCCACCCTCCTATAACCACAAACATCCATACTTATTATTGCACCTATTACATACATAGAACACTTAACTCTGATATTAACCCTCCCCTCAAACATCTCCTTGCCAACCTCAACAGAACACATGACCATAACACAAGGCACAGATCACTCTTTGATGTTCCTCGTGTCCATCTCACGCTATGCAAAAACTCAATGCACATAAAAAGCCCTAAAATCTGGAATTCATTACCTGTAAATATAAAAGAAACACTACCTGTTTATAAATTCAAGTCTCTTCTCAAAGATCACTTACTCACTCAAAACCAAATAAATACTGAATAACTGAACCTTATAAATTGTATATCCTATATGTTACTCACAATTATATCACACAAATGTTAAACCTAGGACCCAATCTAACTATTATTTTTTTAAATACACTACCTAACAGAATACTCCATTCGACTGAATGTACAGCAATGCATGCAACCATATGACCTGTCTTTGTAATACTCATTTGTGCTTTATAGTTATCTTTTTTTTTTTTATCATCACACTGGCCGATTCCCACCAAGGCAGGGTGGCCCGAAAAAGAAAAACTTTCACCATCATTCACTCCATCACTGTCTTGCCAGAAGGGTGCTTTACACTACAGTTTTTAAACTGCAACATTAACACCCCTCCTTCAGAGTGCAGGTACTGTACTTCCCATCTCCAGGACTCAAGTCCGGCCTGCCGGTTTCCCTGAACCCCTTCATAAATGCTACTTTGCTCACACTCCAACAGCACGTCAAGTATTAAAAACCATTTGTCTCCATTCACTCCTATCAAACACACTCACGCACGCCTGCTGGAAGTCCAAGCCCCTCGTACACAAAACCTCCTTTACCCTCTCCCTCCAACCTTTCCTAGGCCGACCCCTACCCCGCCTTCCTTCCACTACAGACTGATACACTCTTGAAGTCATTCTGTTTCGCTCCATTCTCTCTACATGTCCGAACCACCTCAACAACCCTTCCTCAGCCCTCTGGACAACAGTTTTGGTAATCCCGCACCTCCTCCTAACTTCCAAACTACGAATTCTCTGCATTATATTCACACCACACATTGCCCTCAGACATGACATCTCCACTGCCTCCAGCCTTCTCCTCGCTGCAACATTCATCACCCATGCTTCACACCCATATAAGAGCGTTGGTAAAACTATACTCTCATACATTCCCCTCTTTGCCTCCAAGGACAAAGTTCTTTGTCTCCACAGACTCCTAAGTGCACCACTCACCCTTTTCCCCTCATCAATTCTACGATTCACCTCATCCTTCATAGACCCATCCGCTGACACGTCCACTCCCAAATATCTGAATACATTCACTTCCTCCATACTCTCTCCCTCCAATCTGATATCCAATCTTTCATCACCTAATATTTTTGTTATCCTCATAACCTTACTCTTTCCTGTATTCACTTTTAATTTTCTTCTTTTGCACACCCTACCAAATTCATCCACCAATCTCTGCAACTTCTCTTCAGAATCTCCCAAGAGCACAGTATCATCAGCAAAGAGCAGTTATCTGTTTACAATAATGTTTATAGTTATCTGTTTACAATAATGTTTTATCACTGATTTCATCATTGCTTAGTTAATCTTAAGTTAATTTTAAGCCAGCCCACAATGCTATGCATATAAGTGGCTTTGGCATGCTGTTCTTACCTGTATTTTTTGTACCCGCTTTGGCATGCTGTTCTTACCTGTATTTTTTGTACCTCTGTTTGTATGCTTAAATTACTATATAAATAAATAAAATAAATACCAATGCTATTGTATGGGTGTGAGGCATAGGTGGTGAATGTTGCAACAAGAAGGCTGAAGGCAGTGGAGATGTTATGTTTGAGGGCAATGTGTGGTATGAATTTAATGCAGGGAATCCATAGTGTGGAGATTAGGAGGTGATGTGGGATTACCAAAACTTTTATCCAGAGGGCTGAGGAGGGGTTATTGAGATGGTCTGGACATGTAGTGAGGATGGAACAAAATGGAATGACCAAGAGTGTATAAATCTGTAGTGGAGGGAAGGCAGGGTAGGGGTCGGCCTAGGAAAGGTTGTAGTGAAGGGGTAAAGGTTTTGTGTGCGAGGGGCTTGGACTTCCAGCAAGCATGTGTGAGTGTGTTAGATAGGAGCAAATGGAGACAAATGGTTTTTAGGACTTGATGTGCTGTTGGAGTGTGAGCAGTGTAATATTTATGAAGGGATTCAGGGAAACCAGCAGGCCGGACTTGATTCCTGGAAATGGGAAGTACATAAAATGTTGGCACTCTGAAGGAAGGGTTTCAATGTTGCAGTTTTATAACTGTAGTGTAAGCATGCCTCCGGCAAGACAATGATGGAGTGAACGATGATGAGAGTTTTTCTTTTTTGGGCCACCTGCCTTGGTGGGAAATGTCTGATGTGTTAATAAAAAAATATACATATATACAGTGGAACCTCAAATTTCAAACCTATCGCTTATCGAACTCTTCAAAAATCAAACGCTCTTCTCGAACCAACTTTGTCCGTTACTAAACTCGCCCCTATTTTCGAACTGCCGGGTACCAGACCTGTCTGGCAGCCCGCTCTGTCCATGTCCCCGCACAGGCGCCATGAGCCAGTCTGGTTTAGTTGATGCTTGAGTAAACACTAACCTGTGCTCTCACTCAAAAATTTTGTGATTATTTCATTGTGTTTAGTGCTTGTGGGACTGTGAAATAAGCTACCATGGGCCCAAAGAAACTTGCTAGTGGTACCCCTGTGGTAAAGAAAGTGAGAAACACCATAGATGTGAAGAAGGAAATAATACAGAAGTACGTGAGTGGTCTGAGACTTGTTGAGCTTGCCAAGATGTATGGAAAAAACAAGTCGACCATCGGTTCTATCCTGGCAAAGAAAGAACAAATCAAGGAAGCTGATGTTGTGAAAGGGGTTAATATGCTAACCAAAAAAAGACCACAGACAATCGATCAGGTTGAGAAGTTGCTGCTGGTGTGGATAAAGGATAAAGAGATGGCAGGTGATAATGTTTCATTGACCATTACTTGCAAAAAGGCAAGGAAGTTGCATGCCGATCCAGTACAGAAAACTCCTGGAACCAGTGCTGATAGTGAATTTAAGGCCAACAGAGGCTGGTTTGACAGGGAAGGGAAGTAACCCCAAAGAGGGTTTTGATACCTCAAGTCTTCATGGAGGGGGATTCTCCTTCCAAACACTAACCCCAACTCCCTCTCTCCTCCTCCTTATCTTCCAGACGCCATCACCAATCTTCAATAAAGGTTAGTAAAAATGTTATTTTGTATATTTATTTACATTTATTAATACATAACTAAACACTACATTTGTTGTATGTAAAACTGTAATTAATCTCTATAAAATATATTTTTTTGTGAATATTTTTGGGTTTCTGGAACAGATTAATTGTATTTCCATTATTTCTTATGGGAAATATTGCTTCACTTTTCACTTTACGAATTTAGAACTAGCTCCTGGAACGGATTAAGTTCGACATTTGAGGTTCCACTGTACAACAAAATGCATAGTTAAACATTACAATATTTACACAATGTAATTTACAGTATTTATATACTGTATTGTTATTTATAGCATTTGAGCAGGGTAATATTTTGTGAAGGGATTCAGAGAAACTGGTTAGCCGGACTTGAATCCTGGAGGTGGGAAGTACAATGCCTGCACTTTAAAGGTGGGGTTTGGGATATTGACTGTTTGGAGTGACACCTAAACTGTCATATCTGGGCACCTCTGCAAAGGAAGTGATAATGGTGAAAGTGTTTCTTTCTTTTTTGGGTCAACCTGCTTTGGTGAGAGACGGCCCGAGTGTTGAAAAAAAAAAATTGCAGCATATTTGTAGTATTTACAATGACTTGTCAACATTTTCGTTAATGTTACGTTAGTGTGTAAAGACCACAACAGTAAATGATATTACACAAGTCTATAACACAGTAAAACAAACCTAAAACAAAATAAGTGAATTATCAAAGCATTCAAAAAATTATCAAATGATACGTATGTACTACCCAAACAAACATGAACTATAATTTTCCTTCAATAATATAAGTAATTTACACGACATCCTGACAGCATCTGTCCTTGGATATAAGTAGATTAACTTACTAGAAATTCGTCCCTGATGAAGTACTTTGCGCGTACCACTTCTGGATCTTCCCCAGGTTCAACACTGGCATCTAATGGGGTCTGGTAACGGGAAAAATCGGGGAAATATTCTTCCAGCTTACTCTTGCCTGCACGGATCTTTTCTGCCAGCAGGTCTTGTTTATTTAGAAACAAGATGACACTTATTGTGCGTAGCCACCTGAGAAAGACATTAATACTATAAAGCAATTTACTATATGCTGTAATTCACACCATTCTTTTACATCATTACAAATAATCATGATATAAATACCAATGACAATGAATTATAACTGTCTTTCTGCAGTAAACATGTGTCAAAACTCATATTTACTCAATCACTCACTGAAATTGAAGTAATTATGTCACTAAGAGTACACAATTAATCCATGCATAAGAGACTGGAACTTCTAAGAATGCCTTGGTCCAGCTGAAACCATTAACTAGTCGCATCATTGTAAAGTGAAGGGAACCAGCATATATATACGAGAGTGGGCGAGGCCAGGAGTATAGGAACAAGAGGAGGAGGGAAGAGGAGAACAACAATGAAGAAGAAAGAACATCATGTAAGTACCAGGTAGATTACTATGGATCATTTGGTCCATTAATTCACCTGGACCACACATGACAGTATCATGCAAATAATGGGTATTATGATTCCCCTGAATCACTTATAAAACACTAACAAAAATATACACACACACATAAAGAAAGAAATAGCAAGAATACTTTCACTATCTGGTTAATGTCCCATATTATAACTGTTGGTGACCTCAACCAACATCTTCTACAGAGGGATTTAACATGAAAAACTTTCTTGATTTTCCTACTCAGATCTCTGGCTCCTCCCTTGAACCAGTAGTGAGTCATCTGAAGGCATAGTCACTGGCAAACCCCCTTAGCTATGTAGGATCATCTGGTCACAAGGCTGTCTTTATGACATTGAAGATTCTAACAGAACGAGGTGAAGAATAAACATGAAAAACCTGGCTGTGGGAAAGTGGGAACTGGGAGGCTCTTTGCTCAGAGCTCACTGCCTCTGATTGGAAAGCTCTTCTCCAAGGTGATGTTGAAAACCAAGTCAATGCCTTCACTAAACATTTCCCAGTGGGCCTTGGTCAAGGACCAACAAGGTTATTCACCTGATAAAACCATTCCACCTCTAAACCAACAGGATGGGACTGTCTCTACCAGAAGTCAGGAGAAAGCTGACCTTTTTGCTGCCCAAGTGCAAGTTTGTGACCTAGCAAGGTGGTTACCTTTGATGGCTGCAAGAACTGTGTCAATTTTGTCAGAGGTGACAATAAATTAGGATGAAATGTATTTTCTTAAATCCTTGGACCAACAAAAGGTTGTGGGCCCAGATAAGGCGAGCCCAAGACTGCTCAGTAGATGTTATGGCCAGCTAGCATCACCTCTAACTTGCATCTGTCAGCATTGCCTAGCACAGTGCAAATGGTCTTCTCTATACAAAGAGGCAAATGTAGTCACTGTTCACAAAACAAGAAGAGCAGAGTGGAAATCAGTAACCACAGATCACTGTCACTCCTGTCAATCACTGGCAAAATTCTTGAGGCAATAATCTCACATCAGATGACAGTATTTTTTTGACTACCCTTCACTTCTTGGTGACTGTCAATATGGTTTCAGTAAAGATCAGTCTGCTGCTGATCTGATGACCTCCCCACTATGTGGCACTAGTTGCTGTAGGCCTTCTGTAGTGCTCCTATTAGGCTCCACTTCTTGATCTTTCACCTGACTTGTTGCAGAATGTATCATAAAAAATACTGTGTTCTCATGTTTTGTCTGCACTTCATAAATCACTTGTCAACACTGAAGCCTTACTTCTGCATTATAATCAGAGAAGTGTTTTTGAATCACAATATTTCCTAGTTTCATTTCTACATATGCTCTCCACCTCACTGTTATGGTGAGAAAGCTGGACTTTCAGTAGGGAGAGGGAGGGTTGTAGCAGGGTAAGACGGTACCTGGGTGTGTGTCAGGAAGTGATGGTGGTGATAGCAGCAAGTACCTGGAGAGTCTGTGAGGAAGTGCTGTGGTGTAAGCATGTACTTGTGCTACCTGATCATGTACGATATATGACTGCCTTCCACTGACAAAAGCCTAGTGTAATTATTAAATTTTTGGGTCTTTACTACTCCCTACCAAACAAATGTGAGGTAACCATGGATATATAGTACAGGAGGGCCCCACTTTACAGCGTTTCACTAATGCAGCGGTTTTCAATTATACCCATTCTTCACTTATTCAGACTTCCTACAATAAATATATTCACCACTCTTAAGCTAAGGGCAAAAATATTTTAAGGTAAGTAATGTGTGTACTGTATATGCATTTTTTAGGCCTAGCTCTATTGTTCACTTAATAGAAAGTAACATGTATCAGCTTTATAGCATATAAAAGTAAAAGAGGATTTTCACTTTACAGTAGTAGCCCAGAACCAAACCTGCTACATAAACAGGGCTGTGTACACACACATTATTACTGCATACAGTCAAAAAATCCATGAAGTGAAAAGAATTCCCTAAACATGAATTTGGTCAAATACAATGGAGAAGGTTGGATGAGAGTACAACCTATATAGCAGTGCCAACAGGCCTCTGGCAGTGTTCTTTGTTCTTGTTTAGGAAAGCAATATTACAATACAATTGTACAGTGTCTGAGGAAGACTGCCTAGTACGGCCAATAGGCATACTGCAGTGTACTTTGCTTTTATTATAAGCAATTTACTGGCACAAAATGTGTAGATGGAATGGTTAGGAAAGGTAAGACATTGCATATATGGGTTAGTAGGCCTGCTGCTATGTTTCCATGTATAATATAACCAGTTTAAATGATATTGCTTCAGGGTCCAAACCCGACAAGACAGAGGTAGAAGCAGCCAGCCGCCGTGGAGAAAATGCGTCGTTCCTGCTCTTCAGCTGAGCAACTCTGAACACTGTAGCTCGAGTTTTCTTGGGTTATCGATAGTTCTTCACAGAGCTAGTGAGAAACTTGTTGCAGTCACTTCGAGCCCATCCATCAAGAGGTAAGCGGTGACTTGCTTGCTTGTTCACCCTCTCATCCCCAATCCTCCCTTCACCCAAACATCACACGGCCCAACAATAATTACTACATACATTGCTATCCTTCTGATTTCCTAATCTTCTTCTTTTTCGGCAACTTTCGCTTTGGCGAAGTTAACACAAGGCATTTGACTATCCGGTAGCCTGTGGTTTTTTAAAATCAGCCGATCTTTGCCTTGGGCCTTTCCCTCACACTTCGAGGTAGGCTATCTTAGGGGAGACCTTCATAAGTCAGTGAAATAGGATGTATATTTAACATAAGGAAAGATCCTTTTTAGTTGCACCTAGGAACAACCTCTGCCAGATGTTTCTTCCTAGACATATGGCGAGGATACGAGTAGATAGTATGATGGAAACCAAAGGTCGATGAAAGAATTAGCAGTATTTGTCGAACTCAACTGTTGCTCCAGGAGTTTTTCAAACCCACGTGGAGCATACTTCTCTCTCTTCGGAAGAAGAGTTACTTCAACTGTGAAGGCATGATGTTCTTGAAAACTGAAGACTTCTGGTGTTATCCAGTTGACACCTGAGAGCTATCAAGCTCAGAAGGATGTGTTTGTTGCAGAACAACAGTTCATGAGGACATAGCACAGCGAATGAAATTGTTGAGACTTTAATACGAGAATTTGAATTTAGGGCTGTAGAAGCACATAAATTCTCATAAACTAACAACAACAAGTAACCTTAAAGTTAATACTGAGACACTGAGGAGGCCAAACATTGTGTGTCAAAAGGCTTCAAATGTTTTGGCACCAGATGTACACCTGACCAAATCTCTCTGACGATTGTCAGTGTGACACAATGTTTTAATGTTATGCTTTGGTCATGCACCAACAATGCATACTAAGGGCAGATTTGTAGCATTTGCTCTGGCCAACATTCTTATCTAGAATGTATAATAAAATACACCAAAGTGTCCTCTGCACAGAAACATCTGCGTTTCTGCTATGTTGCTGAAAGAAAAAGGAATGCAGAAAATTATTAAGCCGAGAACTGTCCATCTAAGAAGACCACTTCCCGGCACGCCAACAGTCCAAACTTCTTCCCAGCTCTGCCTGATCAAGTGGACTCCTCAGTCTCTACAATGGTTCCAATGTTGGGAATTCTGCCCTTTGGAGGCACCCAATTTAAACTCACCTACAAACATTCACAAACGCAACAAGGTCAGTCTCATCTCCTATGTCTCAGGTATCCACAGCCGGGGATCAAGACGAGACACAAGTAATGTATATATGGCCAAAGACATAGCAGTGGTGACTTTCATACCGCCTCAGTTAAATGATCTGTTAATGGTTAATGGGATCACTCCCATCACGGATCCCAGAAAATGTGAAGGCTATTTATGACCCAGCCTTCTCCATAATCAAGAAGTATGTACCCTACTCTACATCTAAAAATAAGCCTAAGTCATCCTGGCCCAGGATCGCCCACCTCGCACACCCAGGTTGTCAACTCCCCTCAACCCGATAAGTCAACACCTGAACATAACAATGCCCCAGAAATTAGTGCCTACTCTCCTGCTATTGAAGCTGATCCTGTTGAACAGGAACTTTCCCAGGGTAACTCACCTTGCCTACCTAATTTTCCCTGTGGAGCCTCAACAGTTCCATTAACTTCACGAGCCTTGCTTCCTGTAACTGGGAATATCATACCTCAGTTTCTGATGATGACTCTAACGATTATAACGAGTATGTTAATATTACCACCTCTAGTGAAGATGATGGCATTTTTAATACACAAGCAACTACGCAGAAGTTCCCTCCTCCCCTTGACGAGTGCAGCAGGGATAGTGTGGATACCAAACATGACATTACTTGCAGCGTTCAGACCGCAGTACACGAGCGAAGTGCAAGAATAATGGGGATTACAATTTTCCAACTTAATGTTCAACATTTCTTTAATAACCGTTACCTCCTTGAGGTTGAACTACATAATTACAATCCTGATGTTATACTCTTGAACGAGACAGCTGCAAGAGTTGATCAACATATTAAATTACGTGGTTACTCTACTGTGGAGAAATCGAGAGGACCCTTTAGTGGTGTAGCCATCTTAGTTAAATTAGGCTATACATTTAAAAATGTTCGTGTTGATG